GTCACACCGGCTTGAGGCTGGATCCAGAAAGGAAACTATCGTCAAAAGATGCAGATCGAGTCGGGTGCGCATAAATCTGTTCCACAGGGAGGATCGGTAACACCAACCTGGCTTGGCAGCTATAGTGTCCTCGGCCTTAAATCTACATTCACGTGACTTTGTTCACTTTTTTTGCAGATCACTTTTGTCAGGTGATATTATCTAAACCAATCACAACCTGCTACATAATATCTTAATATGTATAAATTTTAAAATTAAAGTTAAATATTCAAACATTTTAATATTTATTTATTGTAATAATATCGAGTATAAATAAATATTAAATATGATTTTGTTTTACTTTAAGTATATTTTTAAGACTTTATTTTTTTTTTTTTACAAAAAAAAAAACATAAAACCAGTATTTAATCATTAACTCGAATTCGTCGATGCGATTTGAACTGTTTTACAGCTCTTTCGGCATCTTTTCCTTCTAAGCCATTTGCATAGGCTTCAATATATCTCCAAGCCTTACAATTAAATCGTCTAATTATTGATAAAGGTATGTTATCAAGTATTTTTGGTACACGAATTTGTAATTGCGCATATGAATAATCACATTGGTGACGAGCAGTTTGTTTTGCAGCACCCCAATAACGTTCAATAAAATTGCACTCGCAATGGAATTTCGGATATAATTCAAAAATGTGACCAGCTGCCTCAACAGATTCTGCAATTGAAGTTTTTTGCTTCAAAAAATCTGCTTGCATTATAAGTATATGTCTTGCACAACAACCTGAAACTAATAAAAAAAATGTATATAAATATATATAAATAAAATGCATTAAATGTAATTATAATAAGAATGCTTTTATTAAACATACCATTACTTTCTTTTTGGTTGCAATCTAGCTTCTGACCACTCCACAGATCACGTTCTTCTAAAATCTGATATGATAAAAAAAAAAGAAATTAATGCTGCATTTTTTTAAACACTTCACAAACCACATTTTTTAAAATCTAAAATTGTCAAACCAAAAAAATAAAATTAGTACCACGGTTTTTTTAAAAACAATAGTTTACATATACCTTTTTAATTCCTTTAAATTTTTTAATGCCTTTATCTAAAAAAAAACATAGATTGTGTAACTTTTCTATGGTCACGAATAAACCATCCATCCTTAAAATTGTAATCTTTTTCTACTTTCGGATGAAGCGTCATTCTAGAACACACAAGTGCATCTAGTGTATAAGCATTATGATTCGTACTTTGATCGAAACAAAATACACCTTTAAAAAAAAAAAAAACTTAGAATAAATCAGTAAATGAAAAAAAACTGATAAAATACAATTAAATCATGCCTATGCATCCGGGATGAAGAAAATTGAAAATTGGAATAGCTTTTTTAACAAGTTGCTGAACCATATTTTCACTTTTCCAATAGCCATCTCTTGTACTGCCTGGCTTGATAATAACACGTGCATATTGCTCAAGTCCAAGTCATATAGAATCTTCCTCTGTAAGTCGTAAAGGACCATGACATGGACATAAGAAATCACTAACCATGATAGAACCTCCCTGTCCTTTTTTTTTAATTACGGATTCACTATCTTCAAGCCAAACATATGACATATCATCATTTGCATAAAAATAAACTTCATCATGAGTAACCATAACATAACGCGAATCCCAAATCTCAAGCCGTTCCGGTGGAATAACAATTTCCATCTCATCTCCACAATATTGGTCCATTTTTTTTCGATAGTTTATCATCCTAGGTGCCCAACTTTTGCGATATTCTTGCACATCTTCTCTTTCGTGCCCATCAAAGTATACCTGCAAAAAAGTTATAGTATCGTTATAAGAAAAAAAGAAGAAAAAAAAAATTTAAAAAAAAATTAAATAAATACTTGTTGTTCTACAGCTCTCTTATGAAAGCCTCACAAATGCATAAATTTTCGCGTAGTTGTTTCAGAAATAGTAACAGGAACTCCAAGCAACTTAGGAAAAATTGTTGCTTCTAATTTCTTCTTTAATGACAAAGGGGAACGATCTTTTGGAGAAACAGAACATAATCAAGTACGAGCCGCTAAACTAATATCCTCATCACTAAGTAATGATAACTTTTTCGAATGCTTTCCTTGTTGATGACTTGACAAAGAACCTTGAACAAGAAAATCCTTTGCCCATCCTCTAACACAACGTGACATATAATCTATATTTCGAATATCTTTCCAAAAAATATTTGCAACTTGGTTCGAAGCTTTCATTTTTTTTTCACTATCTAATAACAATCTAAAATACTGACAAACAGATGTAAGCCTTTGCACTTCGTAAGATTGTAAACTTGCCATTTCTTTCTTTGCATTTTGAAGACCATGAAGTTTATGTTTTAATTCATTATAACGGTTTTCAATTAATTGTTGAGACTGAATAATAGTATCTTCACATTCTTCGTATTCATCATAATATAATATTAATGGTACTTCCTTTCGATTACAAATTTTTATGCCCCACATCTCTTCTAGAGTTCTCATCTGCTTAGCCTCCTGCTGAAGTTGTTCTTGTGCTTTCCTTTTCTTCCAAAGATTTGTTCGCGAGTTTCCTAAATATTTAAATAATCATAATTTATAAAGACAATAAACTTGAAAAGTTTTTACAAATACTATAAAACATGTACCATTATTAAAAAAGAATTTTAGATCTCTATCAGCACCCTGATACCATTCTAAAGCCTTTAAGGCATAATTTTGCAAACCCTCACGAGTTACTCCAAATAGCTCCTAGTCTTCTAACATTTGTATATTTTCTACATTATCTACGCTTTCTTCAGCATTAACATCTGATCTTGTTGTAAAGGTACCAATCTTAGTTAGGATCTTGCCTGACGCAATACGAGATTTAACTTTTGAGCGAAGTATTATTGACAATTTGTTTATGTTATCTAAAGTAAATTATAAAAAAAACATTAATTATTACGTAGAACTTTCGTTGCAGCAAGCGAAGATGCATTAGTTAAACTAATGCGACAGGAAAAGTATGGTCATGTGGGTTTATCATAATTGGACTAAATTAGGCACATGACATGGCATAATACATTCCGAT